TTTGAGATTTGAGATGAAAAAAAAGAAAGATCATATCGACGCGTATCCTTCAAAAGCCTTAAGGGTGGGATTATGACGTCAAGGTATGGCCTTTATTTGAATTGACCTATGACCTCTTTGGTCACAACTCGGTCTTAACACGCGAACGTGAATTGTTAGCAAACTTGTATAACACCTAAAACATAATTTTATGGTGTGCAAGCTGCGAAACTTTAGTTTCTATATAAAGTTTCGCATATAAAAAATTTGTTTTAACAAAAAAAAAAAAGAGATATATAATTTTTTGATGAAAGAAATAAAAATTTTCGAAAAACTATATTCATTAACTTTTCACATCATTTTATCATAAATATATATTTTATTTTTTTAATAAAAAAATAAAAAAATATATTATAATTATTGAATAAAAACATATCAAAATAATTTTTATTTATTGAAAAATTTGTGAAAAATTGTTTGACTTTTACAATATTTAAAAAATCGACAAATGGTTTTATATATAATGTATCGAATATAATTTTAACGGGTAAAATATTTATTTTGCGAGATACAATTCAGATGAGTGAACATCAGTGTGAAATCAGTTGGGAAAATACTTTCAAAATCTCTCAATTTAAAAAAATTAAATTTTCAGTGATTTGTGAAGAAAAGTTTTATGAGAAATTTATTGTCCGCACTGTAACAATATGTCACGAAATTTATTCAATTCAATTATAGGTTTTCCGGAAAGTAATTAATATGATTCCAATGATTTATATATTTATTGATCTGCATAATCTATATATATACAACATTGTAGAAAACTAATAATATACATATGAAATTGATTCTGTGCAAGATTTAAATAATAATTTTCGTATTTAACTAAAGAAAATATAATGAATTTATTTACACACAAATTTCTGAATAATATATAATTCAGAGAAATTGTTTATTCGAACAAAATATAATTTCATTGAATTAAGTAAGAATATATTTGTCTCAAAAAGTTTCTCCGGATATATAGGAATATAAAAGTTTAAGGAATCTGAAACAGACATGCTTTTAATTAAAATGGTCAAACTTGTTAAGAGTTCTGATGAGAAAAGTAACCGAAAGTAACAGAAGGAAAATAAACAGTAAACATAAGTAAACAGAATACACCTATATATATATATATATAGTAAATAGCGAAAACTCTTTACTGCTACTTTATATAATTAAACAAGTTTTATTCTACAATAAATTATTACATTAAAATACAATTTAATTTGAAATATTCAAATATATCTTTTAGAGGAGTTGATAAATGGTTTTGAACGAGAAAAAAATTTTCCTATAGGAAAAATTTTGGAAATTATAAAAAAAATAATTAATATTTTTATTATAAAAATTGAATTAAAGTTTAAGGATTAAAATCAAAAAAACGTCTCCAGATTTTGAATTTTTGGGACGCATGATTATGTTCTAAAAATTATTAGTTAGAATTTTCATTTTATGGAATTTCATTAACTTCATTATTTTTGAGCCGAATTTTTATTTGTTAATTAGTATTTTGCAGAATTTTCATCAAAACGATTTACTATATAACATAATTTTTTTATAACCGAAAATTCACTTTACAGAATTTTAATTTGTTCAAATTTTTATTTGTCAGAATTTTTATTTACTCGAAATTTCATTTAACATAATAGGCATTTTTTAAAGAATTTTTCTTGGGTAGAATTTCATTGCATAGAATTTTCTTTTCGATGAATTTTCATTTGTTCGAATTATTATTTGATATAATTTCCCAATAACTGATTTTTCATACTATAGAATTTTTATACTTAACCGAAAAATCATTTAACAGATTTTCTAATTGATAGAATTTTCATTTGTCCGAATAAAAAATCGACAGAAAGATTTCGGTGTGATTTTTAAAATCAACCAATCAAAAATTGTCCATAAAATTGTGATTGGTTAATTTTAAAAATCGTGCCGAAATCTTTTTGTCGACTGTTTGTTCGGCCATTTGCAATTTCGGACAAATGAAAATTGTATCAATTAGAAATTCTGTTAAATGTTTTTTCAGTTAAGTATAAAAATTCTATAGTATGAAAAATCGGTTATTGGGAAATTATGTCTAATAATAATTCGAACAAATGAAAATTCATCTGAAAGAATAAAATGAAAATTCTATGCAATGAAATTCTACCAAATAAAAATTCTTGAAAATGCCTATTATGTTAAATTGAAAATTTGAGCAAATAAAAATTCTGACAAATAAAAATTCGAACAAATAAAAATTCTGTGAAGTGAATTTTCGGTTATATAATAATTCTCTAATATAGAAAATAGTTTTGATAAAAATTCTGCAAAATACTAATTCAATGAAATAAAAATTCGGCTCAAAAATAATGATAACAAATGAAATTTCATAAAATAAAAATTCTAACTAATTATTTTTACATTATAATCATGAATTTTTTTTTAATGTCATCGTGCTCTCGCAAATATATTTACCTGTTTTTTAATTGGGATCGTAATTAAATGTTTTTAAACTAAGAAATAAATGAAGTACGATGTGAATTTAATAATATGTGACGCCGAACATACAATAGAAACTAAAATGAAGTTTTCGAGTAATATCAAAATTAAAAATTAATGTTTATTATTTATGTCATCGTATTCCGTCAGACAATTTTTTTTTTAAAGAATGAAGTCAGTCGTTATTAAAAATAGAAAGAACGTGTTTAAAATAAAATTTTTTTTTTTTAAAATTCATTACATAACGAAATTCTCAAAGATATAATTTAGTCGAATATGTTGAATATATATATTGAATAAATATATTTTAGAACGTAACTAACAAAAAAAATTTTTTCAACATTTCAAATATTTTATTTTAATTAAAAAAGTTAGGCGAATGTTAATGATTTTTTTATTTTTACCCTTGAATAATATAACAAATCAAAAACATAGTGTAAAATATGCATTAGCACACCTGTTCAATTTTTTTTTTTTAATGAAAATATCAAAATTTTACTGAATTTTTTTTTTCTTTTAAACATCGAAGAATGACATTTTAAGCTATAATTAAAGCTTATTGTTTGATTTTAATGAACATTATAATTTATCGATCGTTGTTTGAAAACCATCAATCCTTTGAAGTATTAGAATTTGATGTTTATTTTATAAAAAGTCAAGAGTTCTTCTCGGTTCATGCGTAATTATATCAAAATCGATTAATTAGCGTAATTAATTAATTATTATTATTATGTAGATAATTACAGTTTTTTTTTTATAAATCCACATAAATATCAATTATTTTTTAATTAGTCAACATTTACTGTTCTATAAATTTTTGCAAAAAATTAGTTTAAAAATTTTGGTTATTTTAATTTTTTGATTTCTGTATAAAATTAATTTTAATTAATAATTATCATTTTAATAACATGTAATTAATTTTCTCTATAGAGAAAAATTAGTAAAATTAATTAATTCTCACTATATATAGTGAAAATCAATTCACTTTTTCTTTTAATATTAAAAGGAATAAAACAAAAGTGATATAATTTATAAATTTAAATTATTAATATTAATAAAAAAATTAAATATCATTAATTAATAAAAAAAAAATAAATACTAATAATATATCAATTTGAAAAATAAATGATAATAAATTAATTATTGATAAACAAAAGAATAATAAATCAATATCTGATAAATTAATAAATTATTTATAATCACAGTGCGTAATTAATTAGTTTCACTAATTAAAAAAATTAAAAAATAATAAAAGAAAATTGCAATTTAATTATTTTTATAATCTGACTATAAATAATTTTTTTTTTTATAAAAAAAATGGAAATTTCTATTCTTTCCGATAACAAAAACAACTCTACATTGTATTTTTATTCGATTATATAAAGCTCACCCCTATCAATAATGCTTGAAATTTAATGTATAGACTTATGGACTATATTTACACTAAAAGTTCATAATTGTATATAAAAACTATATAAAAAAACTATAATAAAAATGAAAAATCCATAGATAAAAAAAGTTATAAATAGAAGGTTATATAATTTCCAAGTATTTTGAAAAAAAATTCTTGCATAATAATTAATAAAAAAAAAAAGAAAGATAAAAGAAAATAATTTTTTATAAACATTTAAAAATAATTATAATTAAAGTTATATTATATAATTATAATTTTCTATTATATTATTATATTCAATTGATAACAAATATAATAAAATAAGATACATAAATTCAAATTAATGATAGAATTAAAAAATTAATTATATTAAAAAAAAAATTTCTCATATTTTGTTTTTATTACTAAAAAATTTTTTAATGTATTTAAACATTTTTTTTTTCATATTTTCTAACGCAACAGTATATAGTCTTTGTTAATTTACTGAAAAATTGTGGCGAATCAATGAAGTGTTTTCATGCATGCAAAATTTATTGACTCAATAAATTACAATGTTTTCTTTATAGTCGATATAAACGCTTAGAATATTTCCTCATAAAACATCACGAATTGTCGTATCGAGCAATAAATAATTTTGTAATTTATTCTCTTTTCATAAAATATATGTACATATAAATTTATATCAACAGAAAATAATTTTCAATGTAATTTACTGTTTTTTTAAAATTTTTATTTACATTTAAATTTTAACAAAAATTAATGAGTGAAATTGTCATTTTTAACTTATTTGAATTAATATAATAATAACAATAATAATAATAATATTATTATTAATAATAATTAATATTAATATTCTTACACTGAAAAAAAATTGATTCAAATAAATTTTTTTTCATTGTAGAATAGAAAATTTACAGTTTCGATTAATTCAAACCGTTTATTTATAGCTAACAACTTAATTGATTTTTTAACGTATAATGCAAATCAAAAATAGAAAATGAGTCAATAAATTTTGAGCGTAACAGAATTAAAGTAAAAAACCGTTTTTTTTTTATTAATTTTATGTAAAATATTAAAATTATTAATTCGAAATACTCACATTTTCGAATTATTGTATTATCAAACTGTGTAGATGAAAATCGAAAACATTTTTATCATCATTAGAAAACTTCCTTTATATTGTATAAAATGAAAATAGCCCGCGAAGGCGATTTTAAAAATATACCAAACAATTCGTTTGGTCTTTGATAACAATGAGAATTTTTGTTTTATATCTATATAGAAACAATCACAATATTTTTTTTTTTTTGTAGGTTTTCAATCGATTAAAAATTTGGGACAATGACTAAAAAAAAGTGTGTCAAAGGCCTCTGACTTTTGATTCTGATTTGATGAATCGAAAAATATCAAATTCTACAAGAGTTTTGTCATTTTTGTTTGGATTTTGCGCACTCGTATTTCCTTTAAAAGTGAGCATACTTTTTAAATATTTTTTTTTTTTTTTTTTTGAAAGAAAAGATTTGTTTTTTTTTTGAGTTAAATATTTTTGTTTTAATTTTTGTACTATTTCGTTACTGAATATTGTTTTGGTTTTTTTTTTGGGTTTCTTTTTTATTGTTGTAGAAATAGATAACGTTTATACAATAGGCCGAAGGAAGAATCGGAGACCCGCGTTTGCGGAGTCACGCTAGTCGACTAGCAACCCTTGCCCCACCGAAGCCTCCTCATTCTCTCTTCTACTTTGACCCCCTCTCCAAAGCCACCCCATAGGTGCCTATAGACAGACACACTCTCTCACACATACACATACACAACCCTTCTCGGTTCGATTTTGAGAGTGGGGGAGGCTCGGCAAAGGAAATTGAGAGGATGGTACACATTTCATACGTAATTCCACCTCGCAGCAGTCAGTGTTCTTTACTACGTTAACCTCTGACACTCTCTAACACCTTTTTAAGACCTATCACCCCTCACTCTTCTCTTACCTATTTTTCACTTTTTTTTTTTATCCACCCCAATTCCCACCCACTCTATACTATCTCTTTCTCTCCGACCATCCCTAGAATTTTTTGTCATTTAGGTCGTGAGGCATTTTCAGGCTTTTTTTTTTCCTTCATTGCTGTCAGTCGTCGACCTCATTTTCCTTTGAAAATTCAGAATCTGCATTATATGTATGCGTCACTGCAGTGTGGAAAATAGAATTAACGAACCGCAGATAGGAAAATAAACTCTTTTGTATAGGATGGTCTTTATTTTCAATAAAAAGGAAAAAGATAAATAAATAAAATTGTATTTTAAACGTTCGTGCCGGTAAATTTTGTTATAAATGAAAACTTAATTTTAATAATATGAATTTATTACAATGAGGTTGCATTAGGATTTCTTGAAAAAAAATTTATTATATAGATTCTCTCTCTAAATGTAAATTAGTAAAAATGTTAAATAATTTGAACTAGTGACTCAATTTTTGCTTTTGAATTTACCCGTGTAGAAAATGAAAACTGGTCCTAGCTTTTTTTTTAACGAGGGAAGTGGAAAATCTGCATAACCCTGGAGGCCTACTTCCAAGTCAGATACCTAAAGCCCGTACTCTCAGGTTATGTGGGGATGACCGCTCTTGTTCTGGTAATTGTAACATAGATAATATCTATTTTGCCTTATTATTAATTAGGTCCAAGTTTGGCATTCTAGCTTGGTCCTACAATGGTTTGTGATGCGATTTTAGCCTGGTCCTAACTTGGGTGCCTAGTTAAGACCAGTTTTAATAATGTATAATAAATAATCACAGGTTAACACTGATTTTGGTGCGGCAAATGTCAGACCTGTTTTTGATATGTTTTTTCATGCTGAACTCAAATTCGTAAACGAAAAGTTCCTATCAGCTCTAGCTTTTGAGAAAAACGGGTTTAAAATGTTCAAAAATAGCGTTTTTGACTAACTTTGAGTACCTCTAATACTGAAACAAAAGGTCGTAGAACCTTCCAGTTGGGCTTAATTTGAAGCTTAATGTTTTAACTATTATCCCCAAAAATGACCTATTTTGCATCATAACCTTAAAGTCATTTGTTATCCATTTTTCATTCCCAAATAATAATTTTGTAAAAGTTTGAGCGCGTACCTCTAACAAAGAAAAAAGGATCATAGAACTATTTATTTGAACTTAAAATAAAGTTTGAACTTTAGACTACAAGCCGTAAAAATTATATTATACACTAATAACCTCAAAATTGTTGGTAACTAGTATTTAACTACAGAACTTATTTGGTAATATTTGAATAACTCTAGTCAATAAAATCAAAGGTGAGTGAACCTTCTTGTTGAGCTTCAATTCAATTTATCACTTGACTGTAGTTCATAAAAATTACATTGCTGCACCTTAATCTCAAGGACTAGATGTACGCCACGAAGCATTATAAGGAGCACTCACTCCACTTTAGCAGATGGCCACAGTTTCGCCAAATCAATTAGAGAAATGTCCCATAACGATTAGGACGCCTCTACAGGAAAAGCTATGTACTTTATAGTTTTTCACAATATGTCTGCGCCTAATATCGTCTGCTACTGCTCGTAAATAAAAACTGTTGACTTTGTGAAGTGATGATTTTTATTGAGTTTAATATGATAAATAAATGAAATAAATAAATAAAAAAGTGCACATATAAAAAAATAACAATTTGTGGAAAGAATTTTGTGAGAACATAAACGTGATAAGTTGAAATTGATTTATGTCTTATTTTTATGTGTTTTCCATTACTTGTCAAGATTAAATAAAAGTGTATATTCTGCAATTTATGAATTTTGTTTAAATTTATAGATTTCCATGTGCATAAAAAAATTATTTATATAATTTACATTTTTACATCTCATGTATTTATAAAAATTCTATTACAATTTTTAGGTTATATCACCATCTGTCACCCATCTGTACACAGAAAATAATGGAAAATTCGATGAATATAGTTTGTCTATTCAAATATTTACAAAACAACTTGTTTAAACTAATCAAAATTAAATTTCAAAACCGGCCCGTACTAAATACTGCTGCTGAATACAGTGTAAACAAACAACAAACATTCAAGCATAGCAGACGATAAAATCACGTGACCTGTAGTAATTAATTTTCCCGCTAGGGTTGTTAGTATCGTTATGGGACACTTCATTAATTGAATCGGAAAAACATGTGACCAGAATTTTCCGAAACGGCCAATAGAGTGAGTGCTCCTTATAATACTTCGTGATGTACGCGCTCAAACTTTTACAAAATTATTATTTGGGAAGGAAAAATGGATAACAAATGACTTTGAGGTTATGGTGCAAAATAAGTCATTTTTGGGGATAATAGTTAAAACATTAAGCTTCAAATTAAGCCCAAGTGGAAGGTTCTACGACCTTTTGTTTCAATGTTAGAGGTACTCAAAGTTAGCCAAAAACGCGATTTTTGTACATTTTAAACCCGTTTTTCTCAAAAACTAGAGCTGATAGGAAATTTTCGTTTACGGATTCGTGTTCGTCATGAAAAAACCTTTTAGAAACAGGTCTGAGATTTGCCGCACCAAAAAAGTTTGCTAATTTTGTTGGCCTGTGTAATTAAGGGGGGGTATGGTATTTAATTTTTTTTAATTGTTTAAAATGAATGTATAATATTTCAAGAATATTGTGTAAAAATTTCAAGCCAATCGGAGCAAAATTGACGAAGTTATGAGCATTTGAGCATTCAAGTGTCGGTTTCTCCGTGGGCTGTGTTTTCGTATATTTTGAATTTAGTTTGTGTTTAACCTTTTGCGGACATTTCTGAATGTTTTCTGATGTCGTTGATGTGTATGTATAAGTTTTGCGGTCACTGATTACAAATCTGACGTCAGATTTCAAAAATTGTCAAAATTTAAAATTGCGTTTTTCTCGAAATGTCCGTGTTCACGATATCTCAAAATCTATATATTCTTTTGACTAAATTCCCCAGGTAACTACGAGAGTTTTTTTTTATAATAATTATTAATTATACAGTTTTAAATTAAACTCTGAGAGTTGAATTAAAATTTGAACCCTACGGGAATCGAACCCCAGACGCATGACATAAGAGACCTAACGAACGCTTTGACTACCGCGGCTATCGAACCTAATTAGGTATTTTTATTTGATTTGTCTATATAAATTTTCACTATATTTTTTTAATTCTATTTTACAAAAATACTTGAAATCATCCAGAACTTTCACTGTAAGTGTTATATGTTGTCAAATAATGGATTTAAATCATTAAATTGCATTGTTTAATTGTTTAAACAATTTATTGTTATTTATATTAACTTTTTTTGTAGTGCACCTAGAAAGATGCAGTTTTTTCCTAATTTTACAATTTATCAAATCGAATATAAAGCCAGATAGATTTAATGTTAAATTATTAATTCAAAAATTATTTAAACAATTTATTGTTGTTATTTATTAACTTTTTTGTATTGCACCTAGAAAGATGCACCTTTTTTCTAATTTTACAGCTTATTAAGTTTATATTATTCTACTTGATAAATTACAAAATTAAGAAAAAACTGCATCTTTCTAGGTGTACTACAAAAAAGTTAATTAATAACTATTATAACTTTATATTTTGTTTGATAAATTGTAAAAATAGAAAAAAAGCACTGTATTTTTCTAGGAAAAATATGAAAAATGTTGATAAAAAGAAATAATTATTTGTTTAAACAATTTAACATAATAGTTGTTGCAAATTTAATTCTATATTTTATTTTATTTATAACCTATAAATTAATAACTACAAAGAGAAAGTAACAAATTTATAAAATTGTGCTACTGTCTATGTGTATTTAAAAAAGTTATAAATTATGAACAATAAATTGTTTAAACAAATAAAAATAATTATTTTACAATTTATATAACAATTACATAAATTAACAAATAAAACTATGGAAAAATGTCTTTAAATATTTATTGCAAATTAATAAATAATTAATACCATATAACCACGTGATTGCCTTTTCTAACCTAACTTTTATACACGGAGAGAAATTTATGCTACTGGGTAACATAATGATGTTAAGGGCAACCATATTTAGTGCTAAATATACAGACAGCGATAAAGATTGTAGTATTTACTATCAGATGATTATAGAAATTTGATTGTACAATTTACAATCTTTGATGTTAAAAATTTTATACGATCTCTTTACGTTCTCGAGTGGCAAATATACACGAACCTAACCTCGCTTTTTTTGTAAACTTAAATAATTTCATTTTATTTTAATAAGACATTTCGATAAGAATTTAAACTTTAAACTTTTTACATAAAAAAGAGTATGTCTATTTTTTCACTCCGTCTATAAAAAGGACTTGCTTAAACATAAATATATTTATCAAACGGTATATTTTTTCACAGAGTCAATTGAATTTGTATTATTTTACTAATTTTTAAGTTTAAAAAAAGTAAGAAAAAATATGAAAAAGTTTTTTTTTCAAAAAAAAATTTCAATAAACACATGTACATTTATACAAACGAAAAAAAAACTTACTTGATTTTTGTAATCTTGAAATTTTTTAAAAAAATTTAAGCGAGGTTCTGGTTTTGGTATAATGAGTGATATTGTATCATTGTCCAGTAAGTAAAACGATTCTTCATCAATTTCACCGTCTAAACAACGCAAAATTGTTTTGAGGTTATAAACACGTTCACACTTCAGTCTTCGCTAA